GGACTAAAGCTTGACTATCTCAGCATTCATTCAATGTCATGTGAACACCTGACTCTCAGCATTCACACTATAAAGGGTTTTGATGGGCAAGACCTCGATAATTTCTTTCACATTTCGCCCTTTGACGTATTTATTCAGCGCCGTTGCGAGCCTTTCGGCATTCACTCAATCAAGATTGTGCCAAATATGACTGCGCGACTCTCAGCATTCAACAGACAACCGTGCCGGAGCGATTTCAGGCACAGTAGCATTCGTGGGATGACTCTACTGTCAACGTTTCGACAGCGGCAGCGGTTCACTCTCAGCATTCAAAGGTTATGGAGGCTCAACTTCAAATTCTTTTAGCACGCCCACATATGGAGGTACATATTCAGCGATACATTGCGAGTTCCGCATTCACTCAATACGGGGCACAGCAATGCGAATGCTCGACTCAATGCATTCACACCCGCAAAGTGTTTCAAGCTATCATCAGTGAAAACACCACGGTCTCAGCAGGCATTCGATCGTTGTTTTGAAACAAAGCAGCAGTCGTGCGAAAGCTCTTCTCTCGGCATTTCAAATATTGAAGGGCTCAATCTGTTGACCCAATGGTCGCTAGTGGCAACCGGCGGAGCGACGCGCAGCGGCGCACAGTCCTCCGAAAATTAATCCGCCGACGAGGCGTCTAGCTCGGCGCAGGTGGCGGCGACGGAGCAGCGCGGCCGTCTCCCAACCCGCAGGTGTGTCGGATCAAGTGAGCGACCGGCCTGCGTCGTGAATCGGGAGCGAAAATACTTGTTACGCACCTTACAAGTGGGACGCTTTACAGCGAGTGCACGAAATAGATCCGAAAAGTTGCCGCGGGGGTCCGCCGCCGCTGGGTGTCTGCATTGCGAGGCTCCATGATGCTGGAGGCTACTCCGAGGCGCTCGTTCCGCCGGCACGCTTTCTCTCAAAATGACGCGAGGAGGGGATACAACCGTCCGGTTCTCCCCGCTAAACAGCTCCGTCAGCTCGGATACCGAGCAGCCGCGGTGCGCCCCCGCCTCTGTGCGTACATCTCCGCCGCCTGGCCGGCAATGCCCACTGGCTCCCGGCAACCGCATTCCACCGTCCGCTGGCGTTTGAGAGCCGAGTGGTGACGGAAATGGCCGAGTGGTGACGGAAATGGCCGAGTGCAGACCGATCCGTGGCCCGAGTCCAACACCGGTGGCACGTGGAGACAGCGACCTCTAGTGGAAAACAGCAGCAATGCATAGAAATCAAGCAGATTTAGTCAACACAATATGAATGAAAAAAATATACGTGTATATATAACATTTTAATGGGTTTTTTTTCCAATGAAAGTAGGCGAATATTTTTTTTAGATTGTGTTTACGTTATTTATTGCAAAATATTTTTGGGGAAGGTTGACTGCTTGCCTGACGTGGGATCAGTTCCCTGTTCATCAAGGTCAAGGTCATCTTTATTGTCAAATAAGCATGATAACCGGTATATATATATATATATGTGAATTGGAAAATGTTTTTCCGAATAAACTTTAGTATTTCAGCTTTGGGGCATATTTTGTTGTATTAAGAACGTAATGGAAAAAAATTCAGTAACTGATGAATACAATATTTTTCACTTTTTTTTCCCTCTTTGGATAACAAGTAGTATAATGGATTATTTTTTTGAAGAACTACAATATTTAAAAATGTGTAATTTATTATTTGCATTAGTTTATATTTGTCATTTTAGCATTTATTTCCCGCACATGAGGTGCAAAATATTTCCTTCTTCATACACATTAAATGTATATTGCTAAAACAAAGATTTTTTTTTTATGTCTAGAAAGTAATAATGATAAACCAGCCGCATGGTTTGTTGTTATAATAATTTGACAGGTATTACTATTGTACTAATTCAGGGATCATAATGTCATAAACTAAAATAAAAATGATGAATTTAAAAAAGCTCGTGCTTGTGATCATTTTTGCATGTTTTGTCATTTAAAATGTTCAGAAAGTGAATGTTTTCAGATTGTACGTTTACACTTGAAGTGAGACACATAAGACAGCTTTTGCACAGGCTTGCACCAAAGCTTTCAACACTTTATGTTCTCGTCTGAATTACGTCTGCAGAGTTTGCCCTACGTCACATTTAAAGCGGAGTAGAACATAAAAACTTGCCGAGTCATCATTCCTTGGCGTGCCTCTAGTTGGCGGGGCGCGGTTCAAATGAGCCCAACGCTGACAAAAGTGTCAAGTCAGAGTGTAAAAGTGTGTGAGAAAGCTTATTTCGTGTTTTATTACAAGAGAGATAGAAAAGATAAAAGCATCACGTCGGCCTGTCAGAGCACGGGAGCAACACGGACACAAGAAATTAACCAAGAGGTCAGTAGCTTCACAATCACACACTGCGGAGGGAAACGCACACACTCAAACATGTTCTGGAGTCACAAGAAGAGTTCTGGAGATGAATAAAAGACAGACAAGGAATGCGTGCAGGAGGATGAAAAGACTCATAAGGAGACGTGGCGTCAGGTGAGAGACTCACAAGAAAATCTGGAGCCACCTGAAAGACACACCGGGAGGAGTTGGATGAAACACTCACAAGGACTTGTGAGGTGATGGGAAAGAAGCACAACTCCTGGCGGTGTCACGCGGAAGACACAAAGAGTTGTAGCATCACATGGAAGACACGCAAGGAGTTGCACAGTATTGTGGAGGATCCACAAGGAGTTATGGAATCACCTTGTCTTTGCTGAACACGGAGTCGTGAGTTGGCTAGAAAAAGTGTCGTGGAGTGATGTGGAGGACACACAAGGAGTTGTGGAGCTGCTTGAAAAACATACAAGGAGTTTGGGTGTCTCATGAGAGACAGACAAGTCGTGAATTTGCATGAAAGACTCTCAAGGAGTTGTGACGCCGTGTCAAGGACGCACAACTCCTTGCGGAGCCGTGTGGAAGACACACCAGGGGTGGTGGAATCACTTAACAGACACAACTCTATGTGAAGCTTCATGAGGAACACACAAAGACCCACATTTTGTTTCTTGACAAATTTGTACATTTTTCTGTGACAGAAGTGCTTTCCTGGCAAATTTCCCTTTCAAATAGCGTCACAAGAAAAACATTCAAATAAACATCTCGCAGAAGTCAATGAAAAGATGATCACAATTTTTTGCCAGTTGTTTGTGCACGGAAATATGTCCCACAGTCAACATGAAACTGCCCAAAACGCGGACACCCCACAAACGAAAAAAAATTCTCCAGGACAAAAATGGACACACGTGTTTTTTTTTTGTTTTTTACAGGACAGTGACAATTTGTGATTGAAAATTCATGCCTTCGCGTGTAAACATAGACCAGAGGCTTTGGATTCATGAGTCGGAGGGTGTAACACACACACACACACACACACCTGAGATGCGGTCATCGAGATTGTTCGGCAACACGTACTGGATGCACATTTGCTTTGCTTTCACATTCAGCGCGTAGGCGGCACGCCAAATGTATGAGAACACCGAAAGGATGGGGGGGGGGGGGGGGGGGGGGTCGGGATCAGCAAGCTTGTAAGCAACAGAGAGAAAAAAGAGAAGGCTGCAATTGAAGGCAGATGACGTAAAAAGGCATCACGCATGTCCCAAATCGAAAGGAACTTCTGAAGGACGTATGTGCAGGTCAATGACTGATTTGAGGGAATCGCTGATCATTTGAACATCGTTGGCCTTGAAGTGCAGCCTCAGAAACACATATGAAGGCCAACGACAGAAATCTGTCTTAAATCGCAGGCTACTTAAAAGGCTGCATTTGAAGGCCAGTGACGGTCACAGATATCGCAAATCAAGGGCTTCTTTGAAATGTGTCCATTGACAGCTGCAAATGAAGGGGGATAATGTAATAATCCAGCGCCGGCATCCCCCAAAAAAGGAACCTTCAGGGGTTGCATTTGAAGGCCAGTGACATCATCCAAATAACAGCTGCCTTCCAATGCATCCTTGAAAAATAAGAGCATGGCAGAAACAGCACAAAATCTAATGTGTTCTTCTGAGGGTGTATTTGAAGGACAGTGGCGTCCTTCAATTAAAACCTTCAGAGGTTACATTTGAAGGCCAGTGCCCATTGAGCACACGTATCAATTCTTTCTTTGGAGGCTGCAGTTGAAGGCGTATGGTCGGACCCAAATCAAAAGATCGGTCACAGGCTAAAAATGAAGGCCAGTGACGTTGTCTAAATAAAAGCTTCCTTCAAATGCGTCCTGCAGTAGCTGCACTTTCAAGACGAGGATCTTAGAGTGTGGTACAAGCTTCCCATATCAAACCGGTTCTCAGAGAGCTGCATTTAAAGGCCAAATCAAAGGCTGCTTGAAATGCACCCTTTCCAAGGCTCCAGTTAAAGGCAGATGCCGAGATAACGGGGCGCCACTTTCCCAAATGAAAGGCACCTTCCGTGCCCTACATTTGAAGTGTGATGACGTTCACTGAATGAAAGCGTCCTTCAATTGTCGCCTCACTTGAAGGATGATGTCATCCGAATAAAGGCTATGTTAAGACACAAAAGTCATCTCTCAAAGACTCTTTCAAATGCATACTTCACAGGCTGCATTTGACGGCACTGCACAAACGTAACTCAAAGGTTCTTTGAAATACGAGGCTGCATTTGAAGGCGGGCAAAATTTAGCCTTGGTGTTCGAAAACTTTTGCAGTTTACGTCACTGTGTGCTGTCACCTGTGGCAGAAAAAAACAAACATCTGGCAGTGTCGATTTGAACCAAAATAAAGAAAAAAATACTGCATGAAACTTGACATGCTGACACATCATCCATCAATTTGGAACAGAAGCACACTGCTGAAAAAAATCTCTCTAAATATAAATAGTCAACAGACAATTGAAATATGAAAAACAACCATGCTGAATTCATAAAACACCATAAAAAACGAGTTACAGCAAAAAAAAAGACACATACAAAGCACTCGTTTTGAAATCGAAGCTCAAGTAAAACAGTGATGATGTGAAAGTGCAGTGGTTCTCAAGACCTTCCAGCACAGTGGATATGAACACAACCACATGAAATAATCCACAAACAAAAAAAAAAAACATCCAGGACACGCTCAGTCACACCAAAAGGTGTCTGCCATACAATGACTGTAATGCGATCATTCTTTAACTGTCATGACTCCCAGCACCTTGCACTACAGAAATAAGCAGACTCACTAGAAATAATCCACAGAATTGTAAAATAAAATCCCATTACGGATTGTCTTGGAGATGTGTTGTTTTACAATTACTGCCATGATTGTCATAACCAGCACCTTGTGCAATAGAAATCAAGTGAATGAGGAGAAATTATCCACAATTTGGTCCCGAATTGTCGCGTGAACTTGGGATACAATTACTGTCGAGTGTTTGTTGTTCATAAGTTAGTCGTGATCATCGGCTACCTTGCACAATCAAAGCAAGCACAACCACTCGAATTAATCCGCATCATAAAAAAATGAATAAATAAAACCAGCCACATATTCTCATGTAGATTTTAGACAATTTCTAAAACGCCATTGCTTGTTGCCAGTTAGTCATGATAACCAGCCACTTTACACAACAGATGCAAACAAAACCAATTGAAATAATCCACATAGCAAATAAAAATAAATAAAATCTGCCAGACGTTCTTATGTAGAGGTTTCACACAATTATTTTAACGCCATCACCCCTCGCCAAATAGTCCTAATAGCTAGCCACCTTGCAGAACAGAAATAAGAACCGCCACTTGAATTCATCCACATAGTAAAAAAAGGAAGTCAAGTCAACAACCGCTGTTCATGTCGACGTTTCCTACAATTACTCTGACGCCGTCGCTCCTCGCCTTTCAGTTACGATAAGAGAAATAAAGTGAACGGCTAGAAAAAATCCACAATTACTGTAAAGCTATCATGCCTTGCCAGTCAGCCGTAGCCGGCACACTGCAAATCGGAAATAAAGTGAACAATCAGAAATAATTGACAGTGTTGGAAAAAAAAAAAAAAAATCACACATCATTGTGTATCCTGTAGTAGATATGTCGCTGTAATTGGAATGTTTCTCGCCAGTTTGTCACAGTAACCAGAAACTGGAAACCTTGCACAAGGATGAACAACTAGAAATAATCCGCAGTAAGAAAAAATTGGTCACACATCGCCATGTGGACATATTACACAATTACTGTGATGCAATTGGTCCTTGCCAGTTAGTGTTACGATTACTGTCACTTTGCTCAATAGCAATAAAGAGAACGCACCACAAATAATCCACATTGTTCAAAAAAAATTTTTTTTTAAGTGAATATCGTATTTAGATGTGCCTCACAATTGCTTAAATGAGGTTAGTCCCGATTGCGGGCCACCTTGCACAATAGAAATAAGCACAAACAGTTGAAATTGTCGGCACAGTACAAAAATTCAAATAAAACTGGCCAAGCATCACCACGCAGCGGCTTCAAACAATTACCGCAACACCACGGCTCCTCGCCATTGACCTTGCACAATAGAAAAGAACACCACGACTAGAAATAATCCACTAAAAATGTTTCGGAAAAAAAAAAAAAAAACAGTTGAGAAGCGCCTGCTCCAGCAGAGTGTAAACATTTGACACAAAAGACACGCAATGTGACACGCGGCTTCTCCCAGAGGACAAAGCGCAGCGACTTTGGAACGGAGCGGAATGTCGGGCGGCGGCTGGGGCGTCTCTGTCAGCGGCGCTGTCATCTGGAGGTGCGCACGGGGTTGGCGGGCGGGGCGTAGAGGTACTTCCAGATGGCGTAGTAGTGCACGGCGGCGCCGAGGGCCACAAAGAGGTGCCAGATGGCGTGGGCGAAGGGCACGATGCCGTCGCTCTTGAAGAACACCATGCCCAGGCAGTAGAAGGTGCCGCCCAGCAGCAGCTCGCACAGGCCCGCCTGCTCCGGCTGAGTGGACCCGCCCAGACAACAAGGGGAAAAAGGGCTCAGGGACTTGGGAGAGGCTCGCCACGCTTGCCTAAAATGGGCAAAAACCTCTCCGCTACTTGTTGGCCCACAGCAAGTTCGTTCGTGTGCAGTCCTGGGAGGATCGCGGGCATGCTGGAGACTACCCCAACTAAATTAATGTTCTGAGTATTTTTTCTGTTTCATGATTTTTTTTTTCATAATTTTATTTTTGTCATTTCAAGCAAACAGAAAAAAAATTACTCCAAAATATTGTTGTCTGTTTTGGGGAAATATTTGTTTCATTTTTTTCCCCTGAGTAATTTATCTTGGGAGTTAGACTAATTAACTTGCACAAATATGAGTTTCTTGAAATATTCAATTTTTTTGTTTCTGTTTTGACTGCATTATTGGATTTTTATTTTGTTTTTTTGTAATTTAGTTTTTTGGACGACTCTTTTGTGTTATTTCCCCCAAAAAACAGAAAAAAATATCCCCCAAAACAGAAAACAAATTACTGTGAAAAAAAAAAAACAATAAAACACAGAAAAAATATTTGGGAAAAGAAAAAAAAGAATAGTGGAGAAACAGAACCAAAGTCTTACCTAAAACGCAACAAAACAAATGTTCTGACCATGCCCAATGATCCAATTGACCATACTTGATTCAGTTAATCGTGCCCGTTGATTCCATCAAACCTAGCTATTGATTCGGTTCACCATGCCCATTGATTCAACTGATCACAGCTGCTGATTAAAAGGACTACAGCCACCGTTTGAGTGCCAACACATCTGCCGATTCAGTTCAGCACATCCACGGATTCAAGTGGCCATACCCGTTCAATCAGTTAGCCACGCCCATTTGATTCAAGTGGCCACACCCTTTGATTGAATTCAACAAACCAGCTGACGACATCACCACGGCCGTTGATTCCGTTGACCCTACCCGTTGAGCCAATGGAACACACCCGCCGATTAAGGGGCTCACCATGTAGAGGATGACCGAGGCGGGGAAGAGGCCCATCACCGTGTAGCAGATCAACTCCACGATCTTGTACCTGCAGCAGGTGCGACAAAATCGAAAGGCAATTTTGTCCAGTGGTCGTGTGAGTTCCCACCTCACGCAATTAAAATAATAATTCTTTTTAAAAATCAAAGTAAAAACAAGACGGACCTCTCGTGGAAGAAGAAGACGTAGGTGGTCCCGGACAGCGCCATCACCCAGACCAGCCAGCGCATGTGGCTCGCCCAGGGTCCTAGCTCCCTCAGGTTCAGCCTGGCGGATGCAAAGAGTGAGCAATGGGCGCGCTTGGCCGCGCGCGAGCGCGCGGCCAAGCGTCTCACCAGGGCGCGTAGGAGGCGGCGATGAAGAAGTAGATCACCATCCTGTCACACATGTGGAAACACTGCTCCACATCCCTGAGCACGTACACAAACACACACACACACACACACACACACACACACACACACACACACACACACACACACACGGTCACGTGGCGTAAGTGTGTGTCTGTGTTTTTTTCGCTCCTGCCAGTCTTTGTGTGCATTTCGCTACCTTCCTTTGTGTTTGTTTGTCTGTGTGTGTGTGTGTGTGTGTGTGTGTGTGTGGATTCCTGTTTTTTTTTTTTTTTTGTGTGTGTTTGTGAGTGTGGTTTGTGCGTGCGCGCGTGCACATGTACCGTAGGTGGCTCTTCTTCCAAGCGACAGTGTGGAAGAGTGTTGAGACTGTGAAGAGCGAGCTGAGTCCGGCCCCATACACCCACGCCGACACGCGTTCCCATTGGTCCTCCGACTGGAAGTGGAGCAGCGAGCTGCCCAGCAGGCTCGGAATAATCCATAACTACACACACACACACACACACACACACACATACACACGCACATGCACACACGCACACAATTAAATTAGGCTTTTAGCAATTGATTTTCTTTTCTTTTGAGATCTTAGTGTTTTAATGTTGGTTTCTAATTTTATTTGCCGCTTTTACTTCTCATTTCACTCTCTTGGCAGTATGTTGGCCATTTGTTACCATCTCGCTTCCTTTGTTTGAATGCAAATGGGGTGGAACTTCCGCAGGCGACTGAGTTTGTCATTTACAACTTCAGCTCTTTGAAGAAAGACCTGGTTTTGGGGGGTCTGGAACAGATTAATGGTATTTCCATTCATTTCAAAAGGGAAAGTCGATTTGAGATATGTGTGATTCAAGTTGCATCATGGAACAAATTCAACATGTGAGTAAGGTTCCACTGCATAAAAAAAGAAAGACGAATATTTAACTTTTGGTGTTTTACAACCTGCGCATTGTGTAATCCAAGTGGAAAGTAGAGGGTTAAAAACAATTAAAATGATATTATAAACTAAGGGCAAGAGCAACACTTGGTGTTCATTAACAACTGTATGCAGTAAAAGTTAAAAATATCAAATCAAACCAACCAATGCTAAACGAGTCCAAAAAAAAAAAAAAAAAAACAAAGCTTGAGGGGTCGGTAAAAACTGGTTTATCAATGTGATCTTTGAATTTTTAAAATTAAATTTAAATGGGCTATTTTGAAATGTATCAGCATATAACACACTGACAAAATATATTTTAAAATATACTGCAAATTAAATGACATTTAAAAAAAAATTGAAATTCTTCAAGTTTGGCTGAAATGATGTCACTTTTACTTGCAGCTACTTGTTGCAGTTATGCTATACTGTCATCTGATGCGGTGGCATGTACATTACAGCCCACAGTTCAAATTTATGATGGCATATGTGCGTGTGTTTTACCGCATGCGTGGCGCAGTTGGCAGCGTGCTCGTAGTCTGTGGGCTGGTATCGCTTGTTGGAAGGAACACGCTTGTTCATAAACCTGAAAACAATTGAAAACAAAACTTAATTTTTTTTTTTTTATCTGATCCGTTGGTTCAGGTACTCAATCTTCTCTGAATGGTCAGGCTGTCAATCGTTATAAGTAGCATCGCCGAATCGTGACCATGCAAGTGTCGATTGCGCCATGACTCACAAATGTCAACCATTCTGACATCAATTGTCGAGCTGTGCTACATTGGCATGTAAAAAGGTCAACACTCCTGTAAACGTGCCGCTTTGAAAAAAGCTCCGCTGACTGCACCTTGTTGCGTAGCAACCGCCGAGTTACCGTGACTGACTGCTGCCGTTGCTTAGCAACAGCAGAGGATGGAGCCGGGGAAGAAGAAGCACCGTGCACATTTTTCAGGGAAAACCCAAACAAACCAGGCGACGACGATGACGAGGAAGAGCACAGTGATGTCATCATCGCCAAGGCAACCACCCAGCAAGAGACGTCCCCGAGAGGGGGGAAAAAATACACCCTCGTTCCGTCTTGCTTTTAGAGGCCGATTTCATAAGAGGCCTACGAAGTAGATTTGGTATGCCACATGTCAAGCATCACATGAAGAACCTGCTGATTGGTCGCTTGTTCATGATTGGTCCTACTGCCCTAATATGGCTGGTCTATGCTTTAGCAAGCCCGCGACCCTCCTGAGGATAAGCAGCTCAGATGTAGGATGGACGGATCATTTTTATTTGATTTAATTAATGAATGAATTTTTTTGACATCGCTGTTCTTTGGTCAATCAACACGTGAGAATTGGACACTGCGCAAGGGAGTGGTTGACTCTCCTTCTTCTCATTGGTCGGTGTACATGTCAATCATAACATGGAGCGCCAGTGATTGGCTAATTTTAAATTGGTTAAAAAAGAGAGGGTCATACGGGGAGGATGATGCCTGCAGCTGATTCTATTTTAGAGTGGCAAGGTACGGATGTGAATGTTGCTGAACAGAGAACACATGCTTGTATTCCATTTGACAGATTTATTGTGGTCAGCAACGACACAGATAAAGAACAATATAGCAACATCATCTAGTATACACGCATTAGCTCACAGTATACTTAGACGTTGCATTTCACTATATTCAGTCATCATACAACTGAACAATATAAACTATTCACATTCACACGTTTCATCGTTAGAATAGTTGAAAGTGCTCATATGCGATATCGTAAGTAACGTGTACAGTAATTACCTGAAACAAACTTTATAAATGATTAAGCTCACCCTTTAGAATTTACACCATACAACAACAAACGTGGGGGAATACAGTAAATATGTCATCACGAAACAAACAAAACTATCTGCGTCGAAAGAAGAGAGAAAAGTCAACAGCGTCACTCGCATTCGGCACTCAGCACTCGACTCAAGGCGCGTTCAATACCCGCCCACAGTGTAGGACATCTTAGATACAGAAAAACTCAATGAATGTAAAAACAGCAATAACTACTAACAGTAAAACAATTTGGACTTTCTAACATTGGAACTTCAATTGAAAAAAGAAAACATGCGCTTGTATTGTTTTCCAAAACCGTTCAGCCCTACTATTACAGGCCCAACCACAGAAGTATCTTTGTATCATAACCAAACGATGATTCATGCAGATAACAGCTTGCCAGGCACAACTTATCATCTCTCCCACTTCCAGCGCTTATGAATACAAAGTGACCTGGCCCAGAAACAAGATACACCGTCCCCCCCAGAAAAGAAAAAAAGGGAAGAATTAAAAAGACAAGGGGGTGGAGGGGTCTGCAAGCATCACGCGTGCCAGAGACAGCAGCGCTTTGGCAGCCCGGTGAACGACTCCATCAAGATGGCTGCTAATTAGCAGGCCACAAGGCCAGTTGGCCGGGGACGTGACATGCATTGTGATAATGACTCAAATGAGTCAAGCGGCTCACAGCACTCTCGGAGCCTCGCAAGCAAGCTCACTTAGCGGTCAGAAAGTGGAGCCCAAACAAGGCTTTGGCCAGACTCCTGTGCTCTCGCAGGCCATTTCATTAGGCACACAGCCGATTCACATCCACGCAGCGGCCGCTTGATGGATATTGACATTATAATGACATTCTTGTTAAATGTATTAAATTTAATGTACATATTTTTGTTTAGATTCCAATTAGTGTGTATTTTTTAAATTACAATTAGTTTTTGAGTTTATCTTTGAGATTTTAGGTTTTGGTTACCTTATCTGTGTCTACTCTTTTTATTCTCCAAAGAAATGCGATCAAAATGAGTAAAAATGCATTTATTTATTTCGTTTTCCTTATTTTATTTTTTTTATTTTATTTAATGTCAAATATCAAATAATAAATACAATAATTATAATAATAACACCTATAGATTATCATTGCATCTTTTTTTTTGTATACTACTACCATAACAATCATATTTTAAGAGCAGTTTCTGACATTTTGGTCACATTTTTTGAGCAACACGATGGTCAAAAGATAAGAAACAGCTCTCAGTATGATTCTGTACAAATGTGACATGGGTGCATCTGAGAAACCTGAGCAATAACCACTAGGTTTCCCTGCGAAGTTGAAGAGGACAATCTAACAAGTATTGTGTTGTTGTTGTTGTTTTTTCGGGATATTTTTTGAAGAAATATGACATTACCAGAACACTGACACAAACAATGTCTACAGTATGTTTACAATTAAAACAAATAGATCGGACGTCCGCACGAGAGCCTACATATAAAGTATCCAACGTGTAACATCGAAACACTGGAGACCATGACGATAAGTGTCAGAAAAACAATTTTAAAAAAACGCTCATGCCATCATTTGTTCTCTCGCCATCCTCCAGCTCCTCCTCATCCTCATCATTTGTCAACAGCGTGGTTACTCGGCGACAACGGCATTGCGAGCAAAAATAAATAAATAAATAAAATCAACCCCCCCCAAACCCAACCCCACAAAAACAACCTAGCAAATAACATCTGCTCACCTTTCAAGAGTCATTGACGTCGGCCACTAATCAACAGTTGACAGAACGGACACGACGGCGGCCGCTTTCGCTGCACTCCTGCCGGCCTGGGAGCTTCGCGATGCCGCTGGATGGAAGAGGAGGAGAAAGTGGAGGAGAGGGTGGCGGGAAGAGCATTGGAGGATGGGGCTCTGGTGACGTCACTCCATACGTAATCGTCTCACCACAAGCGTCCCAGTCGTTGATTTGGAGACGAGCTGAGCCTCTCCGCAGTCTTATGCTGCCCTCAAGTGGTCAATGTGGGCATAGCAGAAAAGAAGAAAATGATTCTGCAAGCAGATTTCAGGTGCCATGCCTCGCCCCTTAATTGTAGTTTGCTGATTTAAAAAAAAAAAAAAAAAACTCACCCACCACAGTCAAAGTAACTCAACTGATTTTATATAACCACGCCGACACACACACACACATACAAAGAAACAACAACGTGCCACATTTGTAGTTCCTTTATTGTCATAATGGGTTTATTGTACACGGACATCCCCAGTTTCATGACCTTGTTGTGTTTTTACAATATTTACCACATATAGTAACAGCACCTACGTGTTTCTTATTGTTATTTACACACATTACATAAAGATTGTATCACAAAGCATGTGTGAACTAAAAATAAAAAAACTGGGAGGGAGCATGTTGATGTGTTGGGTTTCTTCCAATGTAAACACGAGTGTAAACATAAATAGCGTATGTGTTGCCTTGAAACCAAAAGTAATAGGACACGTACGGCCGGGAACGGTGGAACCTGTGTCAAAATCAAGTCTAATATTTCACTTTTATTTCACGTAGCAATGCAGCTAGGATGACGCTTTGGAGGCCAGGAGGGACGGACTAGTTTCAGTTCTCATTGGCCGCTCTTTGGATTGGTGATGGTGGGGATTGGGGGTGGGGTGTCGCTTATAGCATCCGGTTGCGTTTATGGGTGGGTGAGTCCGTGATGACATCGCTGCAGGGGGCGGCGCCCCGCTTGCGGTTGGCAGCCGAATCCAGGTGGAGGGCCATTTCCTCGGCGATGAAGGTGTTGAGGTCCACATCGTGAAGGCCGTTGCGGCGCCGGCCGTGGGGTGGTGCCACCGCCGGGTGGCTGGGCGAGCCAGGCGGCGGGCCTGACGAGCGCACTGAGATGCTGGCCATGGCACCGCTGAGACCTGGGGGAGACGCAAATGTTTAGGTCTCCACTCGGGACTTATTCGTACACTCTCGTGTTTGGTGAAACCACCATTTTTTTACTGCCATTTCTCCTCCTTCCCTCTCCTGGGTTCAGGTGCAGAAAACTTTCCATGTAATTACCCCGCGGGTTTCTTCTCCAAGTAGCTCACCATAGACGGGACATTGTGAATTTCTTGGAATGTTGGATAGATGCTAATTTGAAAATGTAGCCACTACATTCCCGTTAAACGCGGCACCGTGAACCGTATTCGTACTGACCGTGCAAGGCTATGGCCTCTCTGAAGGGCTGCAGGTCCGTCTCCACGGAGCTGCCCGACTCGGGCGGCGGCGGCCGGCCGGCAGCCACCATGGCCCCCCGGGGCGGGGCCCGGGCTGCCCTGGGAGGAGGGTTCTTGCCGCACAAGAAGCTGATGAGGTCCTCCCGCCGGATGGTTCTCCGCCGCTTCTTCACCCAGGCCATCACCTCTTTGTTCCGGCGCTGGTAACCGATCTGGATCCCCAGGTCAAAGCTGCGCTGGCGGGCCTCCGTGCTCTCTGGACAACAACAAAACTCTCTTACCACAAAAAAGGACAAAATCCTGTGGGTGAACATGCACCCTATTAAAATTACTTTTTTTAATTGGCTCTAGTTTTACTGATATTTGGAACAAATGGATTGATTGCCGATTCATTAAGGAACACCCAAAAAATACTCGGCATTGACTCTCCATTAAACGTGAACCCATCTTGTGGTTTACTGTTAAATATTGGCTAATTTTCAGAATAGACTTTTACATGAAACATGCCTGGAGAAGACTCTCTGTGAAAAGGCATTTAATGATAATTGCGTCAAAAATGGAAGAATACTCGATGGACACGCTTGAAAAGACTGATGCTTTAACTGTTAAACTCTGTTGCTTGGAAATGCTTTTAAATGGTGTCAACAGTATAGGCCACAGGAAATTGGATAGCGATACATTCAAACAACGCATAAAAGGAAGACATGCCTTAAAAGCAACACCAGTCAACAAATGGAATCAAGAAAAGGCTTGACACCATCTAGTGGCTGAAGAGAGTAACTACAATAAAGAGCGGGCTCAGCTTGGGGCTGGCCGCTCATCGTTGCAACAGGTGCCATACCAAACAATGTCCGCATCATTTATTCGAGGCTTTTCATAGGCACGAAGTGGCTATGACTCGGGATGCCGTTTGCGTCGAAGTCGGTGGCAAGCATTTGTGATGGCAACATCAAGTTCAAACAGGGCACCGCCGATCGCGCCCCTCCGGTCGGCAAGGCGAGTCAAGTTAGCGGCCGCGCCAACAACTTCAACGTAAGAGCCCATCAATTTACTTTTTTGTTTTTATGACCCCGTGTATAATATCGGAGGTTGATTTGGGATTTTTTTTTCCATGCTAAATATTGTGTGGCATTCGTGAGCAATTCAAGACAATTCAAATACTTTTATTTTCTGTGTGATGTGGCCACCGGGGCGCCGCATTGCACGACAGAGCTCGAGAGCAGCAAACCCAATTTTGGACTTGACTTTCGCAGTATTTAAACACTGGATCATCGATGGTAGTTTTCGACGCCCGTCTATACAATCGTGCGTTGTGAGTTAGCGTTAGGCTAGCGGACCTTCCTCAGACACGGCACCGTGCTGCTCGGTTAAACACACGGCATCTTTGACGGGAATCTTTCAATTAGCTTCGGCCTGGGGAAAAAAAAAAAAAAAAGTGTCATCTTTGAGTTCATTCAATACAGTATTGAATCGTATATGATGTAATTGTAAAAAAAATAAAAGAAAGATGACTACTACACAGAATTGACTTATCGCGGGTTCTTTTTGGACCGCAAGTTTGATTAACAAGGGATTGCCATCAAGAGAAATGACTGGAAATAGGATGTCGTCACTCGCCTTTGTACATGTTGGTGACGGCAGTGGCTGCATTCTGGAAAGGCACCCAGAGGGAAAGGCCTTGCTGCTGACATTCTCGGTCTGCGAACCACATTTCACACATGCGTCAGCCACCACTCTCTACCCGCGCCCGATAAAAATCCCATTTCCAATAAGAATCCTTCTTTTCCTCCTTTCCTTGTACAAAAAGAAAAAAAAAGCAACATTCAATGAAACAGAATGGCCAATACATCAGTCAAACATTTTTTTTTTAAATCCTAAATCGAATATGTTTTAAGTTAGTTAAAAGGATGTGCCAAACCTACCGTTGGACTTTTTAATTGTATTTCACGTTTATTTTGTACCACAGCTGGTTTGGGTTCAAGTTTCAGCATTTGCGTAACTGCGGAAGCACATATTTCATGCCAGGAAACTTGTTGACATCTGAAAAAGGCATCGTTTTTTGTTTTTTTTTTGTGAAAATAAGTTCTTCCATTTGGAAAGTGGCCCTCACACCATGTGTGTAAACACAATGCTTAAAAAAAAAAGAATAATACAAATTAACCTGGCAAAAAATTTGCAATTTAGAAGCACACACCTCGGGTGAAAAGTTTCCAACGTGTGGATAAATAAATCACTCCGCTCCTGTTTTCTGTTTCTCAAGTGGAATAATACTTGTTGCCAAGATTGGGTTTTTTTTTCATCAATACTAAGGTGGTTGGAAAAGCCTCCTTGGCAAACTTTGTTACCAACACTGACTTAGCTTTTGTAAAGTAGCTCCGCTCTGTTGTAGGTGTAAGCAGTGGACATCAGCAGGAATACGCAGCAAAGCATGGAGAAAAAATAAATACAAATCACAAAAAACGTCATCGCACAGCTCGAACAGACGACAACCAAACCTCAAGTGTTTGGGAGGTTTGCGTGAACGATCATCCGCCAGTCCCTGAATGAAAACGCGTTGTGATTGTTTTTGTAGGTTACAAACATCTGGCGCGTAAGGACGGCCTGGCCAGAGTCGGCCCGTGTTTAAGGCAAATCCTTTGCGTTTAATCTGATCAAAGACGATGAGCCGCCGGTGGTTACTTCAAACCCGCCTGTTATTTTTGTTTTTCTGTTTTTCGTCCTTTCAAAAGTTCCTCCTGGGGTTTTCAACCCCCAAAAAACGAACTATTAAGACAACATTTGGTGCAACTATTAGTGTCACTTGGTCATTTTTATTTCTCAACGATATAGATTTGGACATAATCGGACATGGATTTGGAATCAAATGTTAACAATTTGCTGTTAAATTGTCGGGAGTTGTACAGACCAGGATTTTTCCCTTTTCTTTTTTAAATGTGAGATTTTGGCATTCTGTGCTTTGAAAGAGTTGAGAGACTGAAGTGCATTCAAAGAATAATTACAATAAAGACAAAAGGACCTTCGACTTTTGGTTTTTAATTGACTTTTATGGTCTTGGACTTGGTCTTAAGAGTTCTGGTCTCGGGCAAGTCTTTATCTTGGATAGTGTGGTCTTGAGCACACCACTAAATTTGGGGAGTATACTGAGCATTCAACTATAGGGAATGGTACATTTTCCCCTTCTTAAATGCCTAATCCCGGCATGTATAGCCAACATTGACTAGATTACCACACCACAGTCAAATGTCTGCTCTTTGTAAGAACTAATGTGAACGATCTGAGCACTGCTGAGGCCAAATGAATGCGTTCATAATAAATAGCAAAAATTCATGTCGCACAGACCAAACGGGAGGAGGGAGGACAAGGGCTGGCTGGTCACTCCTTTGCTCACATTACCGCAAAGTAGCATTAGCTTAGCATCCAGGAGGCAACAGCCGAGGACATATCAACATGGTTCTAGGTCATATAAACACACTTGAGTAAAAGTATGTGTTTTAAACTCTCCTTGCCGACTCGCCGGCTTCTGCGTGGCTACACTTGCCGAAAAAATGTGGCCGACTGGATGCTAACCGCTAACGATAGAGTCGAGTTACACAGAGCCCACACGAGCCCGGTTGGAGTAACTCAAAAAGCGTTTAGCGGCAACGATAGTTCCAACGCGACGATAAAAGATAAAATAGAGTCACTGGGGAGCTGGCGTTCAGTTAAAGGCAGTAAAGAATCGGCGAGCCTGCGTTAGCCGGTGTCCTTTGTGCACCCTCCCCACCCGCCTGTCATCGTGAACCTTACCTTTGTAGAGCTGCGCCACCGCCGTGGCCGAGTTCTGGAAGAGGTGCCACAGCTTTTGTTGGTTCTGCTCCGTCTCCTCGTCGCCCAGCGGCTCGCTCTGCTCGGCGGCAGTCAGACACTGGCGCTCCCACTTAGAAAACCAGTGCTCGGGGCCGTGCTCCTGGATCTCGGCTTCTGCCTCCTCCTTCCGTTCCTCCATGGCTAACGGGTTAGCCTCGACGCTAACCCGACCGGCCGCTTGAGATGTGCGATCTCCTCGCAGGGATTCGCCGGTCCTTAGCGGTTTTTGATCGATTTTTTTTTTTTGTGGGAGAGAAGAATGTTCCACGGGGCTCTAGCGCCGAAGAGGGGGCGGGTGGGACACGGATAATTAGCGCTAGAGTAGCATTGTGTTTGTCGGATAGCTCGCCCTACGTGCACAATACATACACATTACCGCACTAAAATGACAACACGAGAATGTCTGCCTTTAGCCCCACCCCTCCACGTCCGCTCCGAAAGGTGATTGGCTACACTGGCACGCAGCATGGCTCAGTGGGGCTGGACAGTAATTGTCATTCGCGAAGCGGTGACACACTGAGCACACAAACTCTGATTGGTCAAGCAATGACAAAAAAAGACCCCGAAGACTCGCCTTTTTAAACTGGCGCCTTTATCGCATTGTGCCCGGCAGGGGGCAGCAAGAAGCCTGCGAAAACCTATTCAATTCCACCCCTGTTCATTGTAAATACAGGATAACACCTTATTTACAGGTGGATTTTGGCGAGTAAAGGTTTATCGGTCGAAAGCCTTAATGTCCAGGTGACGCCACGAGTACGTAGTGGTCTCGTGGGAACTAGGACAAGGAAGATTCCGTTGTTATATTAACCTGTTTTCGAGCGAAACTGCCGCATATTTCGTGTATTAAATAAAAACTAAGCACAAACTCTGACTGAAACTATAACAAAACAGTGAAACGTCAGAGTTTTAAATGCAAAACAAATCCACACAATTTCAAAGGCTTTCCTTCACGCAAAATCTTTATTCTGTTTATTATATTTATTCTTAAATACTGACAGTTTGTAAGCTTTCAATAAAAGTTTGCACCGATAGATTAAAAAAAAAACAGCAATTCATCCCTTAACGTAACTGACGTCATGGTCAATTCTTCTTCTGTGGTGTTATGATTGGCGTTTTGGTGCCAAATTAGCCTAATGGCGCATTACCTCCACCACCGTGGACTGCCATAATGTGGAGGAAACGGTACTTATAAAAATAAGAAACTAAATTCAGCCTTGCTAGCTGTTGACCTCAAGAGATCTGACGGTGAGTTGTGTTTGTTTTAGTATATTGCCAAGGCAACTTTTTATGCTTTGCAGTGTTAGAAATTTACTATTTAACTGACTAACTCATTCATTCATCTTCCGATCCGCTTATCCTCACCAGGGTCGCGGGGTGGGGGAGGGGTGTGCTGGAGCCTATCCCAGCACTCACTAACTCATTTAAGTCATTTACTCATATGTATGTTTTGGGGGTGCATTGTTACTCTGCCACGCACACAAATTCAGATCAGATCGAGCGGGCATAATTAGGCACGTTGATTTTTCAACCACTTCAATTCAGACTATAGCAAAATTAATTGTATTAAAAAAAGAAAAGTTCATATGAGATGTGTTTTGATTTTATTTACTTTTTTTGGGCGGGGGTATCGGTGGCCACTAGAACTTATACAGGTGCATTAACATTGTTGAAGTAATACAGCTGAGTGTTTATGGCTGTATCAGTATCAGTATCTTTGGCTACAGTTGATGAGATTATGGTGAGTTCATGGAAAGTTCATGCTGCCTTTATATATTTGTTTATTTTTTTATGGCTGAGAGTCAGGGAGAGTCCAAAGATTACTGGCCTATTTTTATGGCAGCTCGCACGTTTCTGTGCTTCTCATGAAGACTTCAGTGCTGCCATTCACTTGTCACATTTTCAACATGACCAAGGGACAACAGGACGTGTTTGCCTTAGAGGATTCCTCCCAAGAACGAGGACCCACGCTGACATTCAGCAACCTGCACTACTGCATCCCGGAGAGCAATTGGTGTCGAAAGAAACATCCGGAAAAGTACATCCTCAAAGATGTTAGGTTGGTAGGAACCAAATATTTCTGCAATGTGTTTTTAAAAAAGGCAATGAAAGTCGGCTTTTTTTAAATAAAATCAATTACAAATGTTGTATTTTAGGATGATTCCATTTATGGTGCCTCCGACTGGTATAACTGAAAACAAATGGATCTTCGTGTGTACAAATGTAAAACATGACAATTCCGCTAGGAAAAAGAGGAATGTTGTATGAATGGACATTTGTGTCGTTGTTGCAGCGGCATCATGAGACCCGGCATGAACGCCATCATGGGTGCCACGGGAAGCGGTAAAACATCGTAAGGAGCACAAGTTTACGCATTCCACGAGGAACTTCAAACATTTCACGTTTCACCACTGTCCTCACACTCGCCACAGATGGCAAAAGTACTCGCACTGTATAACCTGGGTGTCTGAGAGAAAATTGCTGGTGAAAATAAATCCATTGGTTCAATTTCTTGACAGAAGGTAAAAGTAAAAAGTGCAGAATATGAAATGTACAACTGTTAAATTTCTGTACAAGACTGTACCCGTTTTAATCAGTTCACACAAATCGAAAATAGTATCCGTAATTGTCGCCACCCCCGCCCAAAACGCTTTATAATTGCCTATAGATGCCACAAAATGGCCTCAATGAAAGTCCTTGACTCACTTCAGCTTAGTTGCTTGGCACCAAGATGCGATAAAATGGCGATAGAGTAATACTTTGGTCTCAATTAAGCTCCTCAATTCACCTATACATAGAGATCCTTAGCACTAAGTTGCCAAAAGATGGTGGCATCATACTACTTTTACCTAGATGAAACTCCTCAGTTCACTTCAACTTAGTTCCTTGGCACCAATATGCTCCCTGATAGTGGAAAAGCACTGCTTTTGTTCGAATAGAGCTGATCAACTCACTTTTTCCTCAGAACCAAGCTGCCACATGATGGCACCAAACACTATTTTTGTCTAAAGGAAGCCTCTCAACTCCTTTCAATGTAGTTCATTGGGCCCAAGATATGGTAAGTTGGTGCCAAATCATTACTTTTGTCTAAGTTTTAACTTCAAGCTGTAACCTGAGCTCAAGAACAGAGGGCGAAATGGCAAAAAAAAAAAAAAAATCCGCCAGCAGGTGAACTCGCAAATGCCAAGCCACAAATACGGGGAGCTTTCACTGTTCCCAATCAAAGGGCAAATACCTGAAAAATTGACCTAAGGCGAGTAACAAAGTGTTTGTACTTGGTTATTTCCCAACATTGCCTTGACACACAGGCTCTTGGATGTCATCGCCGGGAGAAAAGATCCCGCCGGGCTCCGGCAAGGAAGCGTCTTGGTGGATGGCAAGGTTGTGACCTCCAAACTCAGGCTCAGTTCCGCGTATGTGGTCCAGGTGCGTCTCTCACACACACACACACACACACACACACACACACACACACACACACACACACACACACACACACACACACTCACACACACACAGACAATTTCAGGAGGGGCGGGAGATGAGCACATGAGTGCCATGATTCCCAGGATGACATCCTGATGGGAACGCTGAGCGTGCGGGAGAATCTGCGCTTCAGCGCCAACCTGCGTCTCGACCCCCGACGCCACTCGTCCGCCGACAAACGCCATCGAGTGGACGCCCTCCTGGACGAGCTGGGCCTGAACAACTGCGCGGACACCAAGGTGGGACACACCCGGATGCGGCCGACGGAGTCACCATTTGGCGGCGGAAAGTCGGTCGTCTCATTAATTGCCGGTCGAAATGCGATTTTGGTCAATTTGATCAGAACACGGGCAGGAAGATTCTGAGCTCTGTGGACGTGGGGTGCGTGTGAGACGTAATTCATTCCAAAAGGTATTTTACATGGGAAGTCATTCAGAGTTGCTGCGTTCTTTTCGCTTTGGAATTTTTCATCATTTTAGTCTTTATTTGCTTTAAGTTTTGTGATTTAATTTTCGTTACTTTATATTCGTTTTCAAAGTGGGTGTGTTAGTTTTTATTCGTTTTACTTTTTTATCATTCATTTTATTTATTTATTGTGTTCAACATAAAAAAACATCAAGGTAAGTGTTGTGTTGTAAAAACTCAAAAGTATTATTTACAAAATTTTCAACAAATTTAAAAAAATGAATGAGTTGAGTTCAAAGTTCAGAATTAAACATGTTCAACTAAGTTCACCATTCCAAATATCAACCCGTTCATAGTTTTGGTTTGTTGTTAATTGCTCCAAGCATGTGCCTCAGCACTTCCCCATTGTTGTCACCCATGCAGTCTCAAAAACGCGCCACCTCATCCTCTCGAGAATGGTGCCGTGTCGCCATTGAGACTGTCACAGTGGCAGCATATTTAAAGGGAGGGCGGGTGCTTGCGTGCAGATCGGGACAGAGTTCCTGCGCGGCGTGTCGGGTGGCGAGAGGAAGCGCTGCAGCATCGGTATGGAACTCATCACCTCCCCGGCTCTCCTTTTCCTGGACGAGCCCACCACGGGCCTGGACTCCAACACGGCCAACTGCATCATCGGTCTACTGCACGAGTACGCAAACAACAGCAACGTCATCAAGCTAAATAATTATGGACAGACAACCCAGTAGGCGTGCTTGCACAATTGTGCACACCCTCCTACAATTGGGTACAGTATTTGTCTATGTTCAGAGTCAACCAAAACATTCAACTTCACCTTAAATGGGAGTCTTCGCACACCTGCCTCCATTTAGAACACAGGTGTCAAATCCAAGACCCGGTGGCCAGATCTGGCCCAGCGATATCATTTTAGATGGCTCGCAAAACTCAAATGACCTGCGTCGACTTCACGTTTTTTGCTAATAGGCCTAAATCGCAAATTGTCTTCACGTTGAAAAACTTTGAGATTGCAAGCTTCTGTTTGGTGAACAATCCCCATTTAAAATATATGCAATACCATCAGGACAAAAAAAACAATTTTCACTCGCCAAGGACTCCAAAATTGGTTATTCATCAATTTGTTGTATATTTGTAATCAGAGGGAACCATACATTTATTTGGGTTCATAGTCATAAAGACCCTCCGAATGAAACCATAACTACGATGTGGCCCGCCACAAAAACGATTCTTGCTAAATAAAGTTCCAACGTTCACATTTATGTTGAAGAAAACCAAATGCAATATAAAATCTAATACAAATGGAAAGCAACATCGATCACGACTAGGAATGATTTTGTGACTTTTTTTTTTTCAAATTGTTTTTTATGCTTTGTAAAATAAAAAAAAAAATCATAATAAAATACAATAAATGAAATGCAGTAAAAACATAACACAGTAAACCCTAAAATGTAAATGTGTAAACACATTTTTATTTCAGAAACTAACTTTTCCCAAATGTTGTTTAGCGCCGCCTTATTTCCAAATGACAATTGTTTTTTTTTTCCCCTGAAAACTGGACACGGCACCCCAAAACATGTTGCACATTTACTGAAAATGAGAAATGCCTCATCGATCAAGTCAAACCGCACCCGCTGTGCCTGCAGACTGTCGAGGCGAGGCAAGACGGTCATCTTCTCCATCCACCAGCCTCGCTTTTCCATCTTCCGACGCTTCGACCACCTGACGCTGATGCACAAAGGCGAGGTGGTGTACGCGGGGGCGGCCCACCAGACCCTCCAATACTTCACCGACCTCGGTTACACTCCGCCGTGGCACCCATGAAGCGACATTCATTCCTCACGGTGACCTCGAACATCGATCTTTTGTTCCAGGCTACCAAATCGAGTCCTTCGACAACCCCGCCGACTTCTTCATGGACATCACCAACGGCGAGGCAAAGTCCTCCCTCGAGGAAGTCAATACAAGTACGCTATACGACTGTCACGATACGTCATTTGCCTGGATATTTTTTGTCGATAGGTAGTCATTTTTTTGGGGGGGGCAATACACTGAAATTTGGATACTTTTCTTTCAGCACAGCGGTTGGGATTTTTGATCAGTGTCCATGAGCACCTTTATCGTGACTTTTTATCTCCACCAGGTGAGCGTAAGAACATCCTGGCGGTCAAGTATTATCAGTCGCAGCTGTGCCAAGACACGCTGCGCCATCTGGACTGCATCAACCGCGCGGTCGCAGACAGGGTCAAAGTTCAGGAAGAGGTGGATGATTACGCCACTTCTTTCCTCTACCAGGTCAGTCTTTCACTTTGCTCAATCGCTGGATTGTTTCACCCCAAATGGTTCTTTTCGAGTCGACCCGCTTCACATTTGGAAATCATCTCTCAAGGACAGTTTGGTCTTTTTTGATCCTTGAAAATGGCTCAAATGTGCCTGAAATGGTTGCTTGGAACCAAATTGGCTGACTTCCTGTTTCTTTTCAGACGTGGTTTATTGAGACTTTGTTGTAGATTTGAAGGAATCCCAGAAGAACCTAAAACGACTGCTTCGAAGACAAATGCCAGACTTTCCGTGGTTTCTTTTGAGAACTTTTTTTGTGGGTCTACACGTGTCAGACATGTCGACTAAATTTCAGGTTACTGAATGAAACCGGCTTCGGGGTCGGAACTTTTCCGGGACATTGAAAGACAACATCGCCTTTGAAGCAAATGAGGCGACAGTCACAATCTTGAATCAAAATGGCCATCTTCCTGTGGCTTTTCAGGCGCAGGCGCTTGAGACTTTTTTTTTGGGGGGGGGGGGTCTCAATGATTGACATGACCATCAAATTCCATGTGATGCTGGTTTAAGGGGGCATCATTTTCTATTGTTCCCTGAAAATAGCCCAAATGAGCCTTCAAAGCAAAATGACAGCCTTTCTGTATCTGTTTTGGCGACGGTTCTAGAGCCTTTTATTTGTGGGTCTACTCATGATAGACACGTCAAGTAATATCCGCGCTCCGAAAGCAACCTCGGTTTTGTGGGCTACGTTTTCAAAAACGTCCATGTCGACGATGTGATCCAGTTATTTTGGGGGAAAATTTTTACCAGCTTGAACCAAATTTGGTGAGTATTTGGAGTATGTAAAGCCCGTCTGCTACTGCTTGGCTGGCCGTCCGATGAACCGTCATCACGCCACTTTATCCTGCGCATGTGTTTGCGTGCGACAGCTGCGCGTGGTGTGCGGTAGGACGGTGCTGAACACGCTGAGGAACCCGGAGACATCGTACGCCCAGCTGGCTCTCACCATTTTCTTTGCTGTCCTGGTGGGCCTCATTTATTTCCAAATGCCCTTAACCCTGCCGGAAGCGTTGCAGAACAGGTACACCGCACATAAGTCAGGGCAATTTCTATTGCTTCTAGAGTGCATTTGAATTCACTGGGTTCAATGACATAAATTTCGGTACTTGGCAAATCATTGAACTTCTTGTCCTGAATCGATGTCGGGAATTTTATTTCATTTGGAATAAAGGCAGTTCATTGTCTTTCTATTAAAATACATGTGCATAATTGATTTTATTCATCATTATTGAACTAAATATGCAGAATCATAATATAGAACAAAATTGAAATATACATAATATTTTATTGTTTTGTGATTTCCAACAATAAAAACAGTTTTTATGTCGAAAGTATTGCAGGAAAAAAAAAAGAATAATGCACACTTTGCTTTATTGTCTTTTCCAATAAAATGAGTGAGTTGTGACATAATGAGAATAAAGTAATTAAAATAAACTATGTGGGACAAATTTTTGTCGATGAAATAACTGAGAATAACGTCTTATTTTTTTCTGGATGAACTACAAAGTGAATTGAGCTGTCTGAATGGGGAAAAAATAATTTTTGTTCAAGAAAAGTCACTTTTTTTAAGATGGTTAATATTGCAAGACTAAAATCATATTTTAACTTAGCGCTAACAAATCCTCATTGGGTAGGACCGGCGCCTTCTTCTTCCTCATCATCAACATGGTGTTTGGGAATCTCTCTGCCGTGGAGCTCTTCATCAACGAGAGGGCCATCTTCATGTGAGACACCTTTTCAGACATCTGATTTCAAGTTGATGGGATCATTTTGCTATGGTCATTTTTGCTGTGCAGCCACGAAAACTCCAGCGGCTACTATCGCACGTCCGTCTACTTCCTGTCCAAGATCTTCGCCGACCTCATCCCCAACCGCATCATTCCCATTTTTGCCTTTTCCGTCATCGCCTACTACATGATGGGTAATCCAACGCATGCGCGTGCCAGCACATCTGAACTTTACTTACCGGAGCAATTTTAATCGATCAATCTATATTGTGTGTACATGCGCTCCCAATGTGGATTTTTCGGACCCAAAGCACACTTACTCCTTTTAACTCCACTGCTCAAAGGCGCATTCAGACACACACACACGCATATATGGTATATATATATATATATATATATATACTTATTTATTTATTTATATTTATTTATATATATTTATATATATATATCAAGATATAGTTATCGCAACTGATTAATCAGACAGTTGATGATATCATCCAATATAATCTTTTAAAAACATTTTAAATTGGCTGATTTTATGTTTTGCCGCTCTTTGCAGGTCTATATATTTTTTTTTACCACATTACAACATAAAACAAAAAGAATGAGATTCAACCAATGACCCATGTGCAAAAAATCGGCCAACTCTCCCCTCTGTTGTTAAGTTAAAGTGATACTAAAGGACAAAATAATGTAAAATAGTCAAAAATTCTGCCTGTAATTCATATATTGATCATTTTAAGTGTGAAAAAAACAAAACTAAATTATTTTCATCATAAATTTTTCAATTGATCAGCCAATTCATTAATTAGTTATCACAATTTTACTCTGCCAGGTACCAGAATCTGCATCGCCCCCCAGCCCCATAAAAATCCGTATCAGTCAGGCCCTAATAATAATTATTATTTTAAGAGAGAAAACACAATAAATGTGCACATTCTTTTATTAAATTATTAGTGAATTATTGTTTATAAATATGTATAGTTTTACCTATGTATGCCCTGTGATTGACTGGTGAGCATTCGAGGTTGTAGTCTGCCAATCTCATCTCCGATAGGCTCCACCTGACCGGCATCAGCGCAAAAGAAAACGGATGGACGGATTCATGTGTTCACAGTATTTCCTGGTCAACTTCATACAAGTCCCTTTCTTGAACTTTCTGAACGTATTCACTGCGTGCAGGACTGAAGTCGGCGCTGACGGCCTTCCTGCGCTTCGCGCTGACCATGTCCATGGTCAGCCTGGCGGGGGTCAGCTTAGCCTTCCTGGTGTCGGCCAGCGTGTCGTCCTTCGCCATGGCCAACATCTTCATCGCGCTCCCCTTCGTCTTCATGATGGTTCGGTCCGAGCGCGCCCCTCGCTCCTCTGCGGCGTCTTGCATCGCGTTTGTCCTTTTTGCGCAGGTGTTTGGCGGCTACCTGGTCAACCTCAACGCCATGCTGAGCTGGCTGTCCTGGCTCAAGTGGATCAGCATCTTCAAATATGGACTCAATGTAAGGGCCCAACTCACTCGAGGCCGTTTGAGGAAAAATGACAAATAATCCACAAAAGTCAAAAACTTGGTCGTGGACGGTGCCGTGCAGGCACGCAATTTACATGTCAAATTGTGAACCCCTGTTCATCGCGGGGGGAACAATGTTGCCAACCGTGCCATCAAAATCCAATTTGTTTGACTGTTTTTTGCATAAGATGACGGCGAGGTGCAAATAAGCCCGTTGACATGTTGAAAGTTGACCATGCGTTTTTCTTCCCCCCCCCCGCCACCAGGCTGCGTTCATCAACGAGATGGCGGGACAGTTGTTCTCCACCAACACCACCACGTGAGGAGAGCCGCCACTCAAAATCATTCGACGGCCGAACCTAAAGTCACGACTCTCATTGGCGCCCTCCGTAGCATCCCGGGCGAGCTGTTCCTCTGGACTCAGGACATCGACTACTCCGCGTGGGGCTTCTGGCAGAACCAGGTGGCCCTTCTTGGAATCATCGTGGTCTGCATGACCCTAGCCTACGTTCAGTTGCGCAGGATCAACCGATGGAAGTGAGCCGTGATCTTGAATTTGCGCTCAGGTGAAAAGGGAGGAATTTTGCGCCCTGTGGCAAGTTAGGGGAAAAAAAACATTCGCCGATACCAGTTTCCCGGCAGACATCAAGACAATCGTCAGTCACAACATTTTAACATGTTTTATTATCTTATTGTGGATTTTGTGTCCTACATATTTGTTTTCAGCCACTTGCTCCAAAATGCGGAGCCAATTCCCAAACTTCGCTTCTCACGACCATCCAAAGGTGTAGAAAAGATACAACTCTGAACAAATTTCCGTACAATAATGCCAACATTTTTATGACTCATTGCTGACCATTCAAACAGGAACTCAAAAACAACTTTTCGTGAGATGCAAGCACAGATGCTAACAAATCACTGGCAGGAAGATATCGCTATCATCGGAAACATTTTCTCGTTGCATTTCTGTTCAGATTTTGACACCTTGAACATATGAATGTAGACAAAAAAAGCAAACACTTCAAAACATGTTTTCATGACATGCTGGACTCCACGCCAATGTTCTGCGAGCACAATAATGCAGCACATTCAGCTCCATGTGCACGTCGACTTATTTGAACATTATTAAGAGCAGAGCAAGCATTTACATTCAAGCACACGCGGTACCATGCAAACGTGGCTTGATCTGTCCGTTCCACAGCAGCAAGAAGGGAGCCGCCGCAGGAAGTAGACGCCAGCGTCAAAGTTAGTCTCGCCGAAAAGGCGCTGAGGACATGAGCCACTAGCGGCTAGCTGCTAACAATAGCATTAAAAACACGTTGGACCTCCTCGCTCTCTCGCCTGTTTGGTTCTCAGTATTTTTGTCAATAAAGTTTGACTCATCAAGACAACATTTTTGTGTCTCTCGTCATTCTTTGATGCTAACAAGAAGACTGATCCTTCCATCCATTTTCCAATCCGCTTTATTGGGGCAGTAGGCGGGGGACACCCTGAACAGGTTGCCAGCCAAACGCAGGGCACACGGAGACGAACAACCATCTGCGCTTACACTCATACTTGGGGACAATTTGGAGTGTTCCATCAGCCTGCCGTGCATGTTTTTGGAATGTGGGAGGAAACCGGAGTACCCGGAGAAAACCCACGCAGGCCCGGGGACAACATGCAAACTCCACACAGGGAGGCCGTAGCCGGGATCGAACCCGCGACCTCTGAGAGGTTGACGCGCTAACCACTGGACTGCCAAGAAGACTGATGCGAATGCTCACGCAACCCTGACGTGAGCAGAACGTCTGAAACAAAACAAGCTAAGGAGAATTACACGCCGTGGACTTAAAAACACAAAGCTTTGCCTTATTTAGAAAAAAGAAAATGTCCACTTGGCTGAATGCCAACAAACTATACAACTAACTCACTCTGCATGCAAATCGTTCGCACTTACGCGTCACGAGAGCAGAGGACAAGGCCTGTTCTTCTTTGTGTGTGTATGCTTGACTGTACAGTATTACACTGCCTTCCGATGTCAACTTCGCGAGCCTTGATAAAAATTGGTCATAGATATTCGGAATCAAGTGGATTTTTTTTTTTTTTTTTTTAAACAATAAAGTTTTACTTTCAAATCGTGTGTAATCACCCGAGTACATTTCGTTCGACATTTCTAGCGGGTTCAATTCAGTGGCGTTACATATTAGGTCTCTAAACCAGTGTTGTCAAACATACGGCCCGTGGGCTGGAACCGGCCCCCGAGGAGGATTGAATAGGCCCGCAGGATAATTTAAATGTGTGTGTGGGGGGGTGCATAAAAGACACGGAATTAATATTTTTAATAAAATGCAATTCGTGGATTATCCGCTAAGGGGCAGACTGTTTTTAGTTTGTAAGGTGCAGGCAGGGATTACATTTAGATTTTATATGCATATGTGTAAATGGTTTAAACATTCCTTTCTTTATAAATCTCGTTTCATCTTAAAATGCATGACTATATTTTTTCAATACCAATTATTTGTTAAAGTTTTATGCCTTTGGACAATCAGTGGGATCAGTTGCAGTGCATATATGTGAATGATCAAAGTAAAAAAGAACGTTGGATTGCTAACATGGCTACAAAACGGACCTTTAGATGTCAAGCAGCTAAAACAGGAGCTCTGACGCTGGAAGAGAGGGTAAAAGTGATCAAAATAAAAGACGGAGGAAGCAAAATAAAAGATATTATCCAAGACATTGATGTAGGTGAAAGTGAACGCTGATCGTAAACTTTGCAATTTCTTTCTTTTTCACGAATGGATAGAAAATTTGAATATTGCTTTACAACATAACATAAAAATGTAAATGGTTTTTGGGTGTTTTTTTTGAGTTTTGTATCATTAATTTATTCATTGCATGAGGGGGAGGATGCTGATGATAAAACACCTGAACCCAGGTCCCTGAGAGACAGTCTCAGCAATATTACAGCACTAATTGAAGATGCTAATAATGTACATTATTTTGAGTAATTGATCCAATCCTGCTATAATATAACCTAAATCTTGTCTTCCACTTTGTTTCCCTAGCTGCACAAATATTTTGAGAAAAGCATAATCAGCAGAAAAGTAAGACGGCACGGAGTGATGTTCTGTGTGCTGCAATTGCCAAAAAGAAAGGGAAAAAAACTCACAATGGTCTCTCCTTTGTTTTCCACAGCTAGGTGGTTTTGTGGAGAAATATGTGGGTTCGGGCGTGACTCAGCACACTCCCATTGGCTCCAATTAGGAGAATCGGCACACGGGGGTCTCGAACCGCTACCGTCAGTCCCTGCACGGCAACCAGAGCACGGCAACAGGTCGGACATCAGACCCTTGTCGAATAGGACGACGGAATATTGCTTGAACACCCCTGTTGGTGTAGAACCACAGGATCAGATTTAAACATGCTGTGTTTGCATATGATGCAGTTCGACAACAAATATGATCGCAATATTTTTCATTTAATTGTCAAAACGGAGATTTTTTGTTTGTTTGTTTTCTAGGCAGATGTTTTATTTTCTTCTCCTTCTTTATTCATGCAGGTGTAGCTGATTATGTTGCCCCTGTGTCACCATAACTCGGATTTTACCAACAAAAACTATTTTCCCACAGTGTTCTGGCTCCCGAAGAGCCATGTCACATTTGTTTCCTGTTTTCTGTCGTGACAGAGCTGCTTTATTTTGTAAAGTAAGTTCTTTTTTGTGAAGGGCACACCGGACGTTATGGAGTGACCGGACGGTATGTAGTGAGACACTTCCTGTTTCACGTTGCACGGGCAACCTCCGAACGATGTTCTGCAGCTTCTTGTCGTTGGCCAAGCACAGCCTGCATGTAAGTGTTTTATGTAAATGTATGTCACATTATTAATTAGTGGGGTGTGTCGACCGTGGATTTACATTCGAGGGGCGTTCCAATGGTTTACAGTTAGCATTTTCGCACAGCGATTAGCACATTAGCTCGTTAGCGGTAGCTACACGAGCGTAGCCGCGCTTTCCTTTCGTATCGGACCAGTGGCGCACATTGTTTTGCCACGTTTCATTTTCCAACAACGTCTAAGTGTTTTTATGTGTTCTGTCTGTTTCAGTTTTACACCTTCTTGACTCGCTGGTGAATAAATCGCAAGAAATATCAACGGTGTGGTCATTGAAGGCGTTATCTGTCTGTCTCGCCGCAACGAGGGCGGAACACACAGTGCATGAAAATTGCTCGGATAGTCTCCACCCGAATTGAAGACATAATCAGGACAAGCATTTCAGAAAACTGACGAATAGAACTCCCCTTCTCAAGTTTGTCATTCAGCTCCTCTTTTCTGCAGCTCCGCCAAATGACCAACAGGGGGCCTCAGAGACACTTGGCCGCTTCCCCCCCATGATGCAAGTGAGGGCTTCTTCATGGGTCTCACCCACAGCAACACCCGACGGCCGGGTGGTTATACACAGACAAGGTACTGTCTTCAACTCACAGCACTACAAACGAGGTCAGTGAAGACACCAATATAAATTCAAGGATGCAAATGTGCAGGAAATCTGTCGGAGAGCAGCGTCAACTTCCCTCTCTTGAATGAACCCGGCCGTCCACTTTGCCCAGGTGTTGAATAAGTGCAGGGCCGTCATCATTGCGGGAGGAGCCGAGCAGCCTGTTGAGTTCCTCTTGGGAAAAAAAAAAAAACAATAACATAAAATTCAAGGCAGGGGGCATTTTACAGGACAGTTAATCAGAAACAAAAATGCATATTGTTTTAATGTTTTAATGACCAAGGCAGTACCTACAGGTTGTAAAAAAATAGAATGACTGACTTAGAGTGCATTTCATGTCGAATGTAAGAGCAGAGAAGCCACAGTCACTTTATTCAAGCAAGACAGCTGACACTATTATGCTGAAACTGATTTTAAAATGGTCACAAATGCGCTTCCATATATCCAGTTAAGGTCACCATTTTTATAGCTTGTTTTTTTTTTCTTCTTCTTCTTCAAATTCCATTCTTTTGTCTCTGCAGGCCATGCCATTCCACCTGAGAACCTCCTTCCCATTGTCCTGTGCAGGAGCTAGATTTCACACACCAAAACGGAGACTCTCCTCGCATGGTAACACACACAATACAGTTTTTTTCCTCTCAAGTGGCACAATTATGTGTCTTGGCTAAAGGAGAAAAAAATGGAATTGGATATGTTCAGATCGGGATCGGGCTCTTCCAAAAGATTAAAATCCGGCGTGTATTGGCTATGGGACATATGTCCCTTGAAACGTACACGAACCGGAGGAGACGTTTGGATATGGATTTGGAATTAGGCACTTGGCCCTGCTGTTTAAATCAAGGCTGTAGTGTGTGTAATTTTTATGTCGTACTGTGTCTTGTCCAGGGAAACCGAGACAACGAAAGTATTTATAAAAAATGATGAGATTTATTAAAAAAAGGAAAAAAAACATGGAGGGAAACAGCTCACAGATCTGTCAAGGGAGCCCCCCCGAAAAAAAACATGGAGGGACAACCCCACCCCGCCCCCCGCATCTTGTGCTCTCATGTTATCTTGTTGGGAGGTGGTGAAGGTCAGCGCGAGCAGCTACACAGAGTACAGACGAGTGCAAATTTGCTCATCCGCAAAATAACTGTTCAGCATTCAATAGTAAAAACAGTTACTTGCATTTTGCGCTGTTCTATGTCAAATTGCCATTACAATTGATTGACAGGCGGACGAGCCGGGCCGCATCCTCTCCAACATCTGCCACGTGGTGCCAGGCGCTGTGGTGTGTTTCTTGCCCTCATACAAGCTGCCTTCATCAAAAGGTGTCGTTTTGTTGAACATTTTGACATTCCATCAAGAGAAACGATGCTTTGGCTTTTCATTTGCTTTCGGTCAAACTCTAAATTGCTTTGGGAAGACGGGTCACTCTTGCCAAAGAGATTGTCAATCTCAACTCAACTGTATTTCTCGAGCACTTTCAAACAGCCATCGCTGCATACAAAGTGCTGTACATGGAGCAACTTAACATACACAATAAACAGGAAAACAAATCGGTAATAAAGACGGCAGAAAGCACCGAACAGTAACACCGAGAACAAATCTAAGTCATGCTGAGTCGAATGCCAAGGAATACAAGAATCTCAATGAGTTTTTGACCTGGTTCAATAAAGGTCAACAAGTTTTTCGATGAAACTAAAAACTATCTATCTATCAAGAATCATATTTACATTCATGCCAAGGGGGGCTTTTTCCGAATATAAATACTTATTTTCACATGATCTGTAAAAATCTCTCTCTCTCTTCCTCGACAGATAGATATTTCTATGCCAGCTAAATCAGTGAAAAGGCGAAATAAGATTGAGATTTTGTTCAAGCCACGTCGTTCAGCCCTATGTAGGTGACGTTTGTCAAATGTACTTGTGACTTCCAGGTGTGTGATGGTGGCGGGAATGTTCATATCATATCGCCGGAACTGCAGGAAAAGATGTCGTACCCAAACAAACACCTGGTAAGACACCATCCTGCTTCCCATTTACATGTATTTTTTTTTTTTTTTTTTAAACATGACATTTGGTCTGCATTCCATTCGAGCGTCCGTCACTGCACCGTGCTGCACATTCTCTCTTTGTGCTTGTATCCGAGTGAAAATAAAACATTGTTTCAAAATGATGCCGCTTAAAGGCCCGGGTTTTTCCATTTCTGCTCAACGCCCCCTCCCTCTTCCAGAAATTGCAAATTCCACCCAAGGTACTCTGTGTCCGTTGAATTGATAATTGCGCATTCTCAGGCCAACGTCCCCTCTTTGGATTCTAAGTGTCAAGGTTTGTCGGAGACAATGGGTGTCAACTTTTAAGGCATACGTCAATGAACAAATATTTCACGTGTTGTTTAAAAAATAGATAGAAATAGTGATCAAGTTTGCTCACAAAGTTACATGTGCAGCTGTGGTGTCATGGAAACAATTTTCAACAAAATGACGCCCTTGAAACTTTTCGTACATTTTCTCTGTAATGAGGTCGGCAATAGTCGACATATTGTCATGTTAATGCCCGCCCGATTCATGTCATTTTGGAAGGCAACTTTGACTGTGTCTTAATTAGTGCCGAATATCTTACAGATTCTCATGTCAATGCCTGATCATACAAATTCGTAGAATTTGGCACGACAATCTACTTTAACCCTTCCTTGAACAGTGTATAGTCACAATTTTCAAAAATCCCTTCCATAATGTTGAATCTCAATTTTTAAACGTGTGTATGTCGAGGGGAGTGCAATGTACTGTATTTATATCTTTTATGATGCAGTTAGGGGGCGACGGGTCCTGCAAAATCTCGTCGTAACAAGTGTGCAATGACAATAAAGGATGGATTGATTCATTCGATTGTCCGAACAAAGCCGCTCGGTTGTAAAAGTGTGCGCACGCTTGCGATGCGGTGTTCACAGAGCAATGCAATGCCACCACCAAGTACTTTCCCACGCAGGTGAACGTGTTGGAGATGTTCGCTCGCTCGGACGGTTGAACAGAGACTCGACCCGGGAGTCTTCCACTGCCAGGCAGGCCTTGTCCCCTGTTCACCCGAAGTGAAATCTTCTCAGTGAACAAGCGCCTTGGCTCCATTCGCCTCACATTGGACTCCCGTGATTCCCTGTGCTCTGTTGTGCACGCTCGTTCGAGGTCGATCAAGCACATGTCGTCAAATGAGACTTTTAAACATGATTGTGTTTGTCTATTCTCCATCAAAACACAAGTAGGCGGTCGCATATTTGACCCCTTGGGGTCATGTCTTTGGTCCAAAATTCATGATTGTATGTTCGCTGCATTCAAGAGTGGGCAATGTTGATATGTGAATATTCAAAGCTGAATGCGTTTGGGCATTTTTTCAGCTGACAGGATTCAAAGTTTTGTCGACTCATGGTCTGATGACCAGGATGTCCTTGAAACGGTACTGATGATACTCTTTGTACTTGTATGCGGGTGAAAATAAAACATTGTTTCAAAATGGTGCCCCAAGAGTTTCATGACAAGAATTTTTTTCGCACCGCAAGTTCGTTTTGCCCGAAATGCTCCTGCTTTGCTGATACACGCTTCAAGCGAGATGCTATCACTCGTTTTCTTCACATTGGTGGATGTCGACAATAAATATGTATGACGTGCATGAACGCACGGGCCATTGACATGAAAACCTGAGAAAAAGGTTCATTTGCACCCTTTCATCCGGTAAGAAAGTGACCCTTTGTCTTTATTCGTTAGTTGGGTGAGTTTATCGTTCATTGAACAACATGGACGGTCCTAAAATTGCCAGGAAGTAAAGGTCAATCACATTGTAAAAAAAGGAAAAGAAAACAGTCATCCAAGAGCACAATTATGTGTTGATGTGTTGTCTCATTCCTCCATCCTCACAAGGACCGCGGTCGTGCCACTTGGAAGGGCCACAAACATAAAGAGAGTTTTGGCAAAAAAAAAAAAGTCAGCAAGAAGCTGTCGCGTCCATTGGAACAACATGCTTCTCACATCAATCTTCACAACTGCAGCGAGGCCAAGGCAATTTGCGGACATCCTTCATTCATTTTCCGATCCGCTTTTGGCGCACGCGGGGTCACGGGGGGAGGTGGGGAGGTGGGCGCAGCCGACTGCAGCACACAAGGAGTCGAACAACCACCCGCGCTCACACTCACACGTAGGGACAATTTGGAGTTTTGGAATGTGGGGGCGGGGGGCTCCACACGGGGACGCACGGGGGGAGGTTGAACCCACGACCTCTGCACTGTGAGGTCGACGCACGAACCACTGGCCCACCGGGCCGCCGGATAACAAATATGTGCAATCAATCAGTCATGTGCACCGCCACCCAACAGGTGAGCAGTCTGTCCACACGCACGCACGCACTTCATGCGGGGGGGGGGGGGGGGGGGGGGGGTAAGACGAGCACGAATAGAAAATGTCTGCCTGCAGGCTGTCAATCACTCAATCCTTTGATGTCTGCCGGTCACTCTGAACTTGTTTGTGTCTTGAACAACAAGAGTTTTTCTTTGGCGCATGAACTTGCAGCTCCGAGGCCAGGGGAAACTCTTCGTGACACGTCTGCCCACACCGAAGCATTTGATGTGAAACTTGAGCTGGAAATGCTGAAGGTCGGAGTTCAGTGTGCGATTCCGCGAAGGACGTGTTGACGCGGAAGAAACCCGTCTTTTCCAGAACCCCTTTGTTGCCGACAGCGATGAAGCGCGCGCGGCCTTATTTTGAGCCAGTTTGGAGTCCGGAACTGCGATGTTCCGCAAGACGCATTCAAGCCCAGCGCTCTCGTTGACGACACGTCACGTACCCCGACACCAGAAAACACGCACCGACGATGCGCGTCCGCACTTTTTGGAAGCGCGGAGATCTGCGGGCGAACCTTTGCGCGCATGAAACTGCTGAAAAGGCCGATGAGATCGAGATTGACAGATGAACGCGTCTGTGTGCTTGTCACGGGCAAGTTGAGGAGAGAGCCAGCTGCCAACGGCGACAGTGGTGTAGTGAGGATTTTTTTGAAGTGTCTGTACGCGATTCTGGGATGTTCTATTCATACATCCAGAACATCAATCATAGGCGACAACACCAGTTGAACTAACGTTAAATTGAATGTTTTACTCCTCCAAAATAATCACAGGCCAACGTTTTGAAGCATAACTCGCATTAGAACAATGATCAACACACATTTCAAGAAAAATTGAATGTGGCGTCGGGAGAAGTGGGTGGACGGCGTACCCCCGCGTACCACGCCCACGACACCCCTGCTGCCGGAACCTCCAAGAGAATTCGAAGGAAGGAACACAGGAACTTTGAGAGACTGCTCATATGAGTCATTTGAAGAAAAGATTTTGCCCTGAAAAATAAGCTCGAATTGAACCTGTTCAGGTTGCGCAGAAAATGTATGTTCCGGTTGTTTCCTGAAAATTTGATTGTTATTTCTTCCATAAATGGTGTCATTTATTTCTGGCTTTTTTTCTGTGTGAAGAACACAGGGAGGAAATAGTTATTTATTTCATTCATAGTGTTATTATTTCTATCGAGACTTTTGTTCTGTGAAAAGGTTATTTGTCATTTGTGTGGGTTTCTGGAAAACAAGACATTTTACGTTGAGTTACTCCTTTTTCTGTTCCAAACTCACCTGCTGTCAAACCCATTTGACATTGTGGGCCACATACGGCCTCGGTCGACGGCAAGTGGGCCGGACCATGAAAATGATCCCAGACTCTGCTATCAAGAGCCAACATCATATGTCTTTCCTTTTTTTTTTTTTTGGTCTAAAGAAGCACAAGAACATTTGGAAAATGTTGAAATTTAATAAACAGATATTTTCCCAAATATTTCGTGAAGCTCCTTCGATTTCCTTATGAGACCAATGTGCAATTGACTTTGATCATTCACATGTATCATGCAACTGATCCTGCTGATTGCATAAGACTTGTTAATTGCTATTGAATTATACAGTCATGCACTTGAATATTAAACGAGATTAACAAAGAAGGGAATTTTAAAGCATTTCCACACGTGCATGTGGAGTCTAAATGCCTCCAAGTCGAAGTCGAGCGCGATTAAATGTGTCAAGAAAAAAAGTATTCACATGTCCTTGATGCTGTGTTGGGTCTGTCTCAGTCACAGACTGAGGTTTGATACATTTTTTCACTTTGAAATGTTGCACCACCTGCAGGAGAAAGGAAAGTTCTGACGTCAGACTTTTTCTTGGGACATGGCTATAAATGGGTGATGAATCCCTTCCCATTTACCCTCGCTGACCACCGAGGGAGGACGATTGTTTCCTTCAAAGCTTCGAAGAAACTCGTACTTGTCGTCTCGGAAGAAGGCCCCACTCGGAAAAGGGTAAGTGCAGATTTTACAGCGAGAATGCATTCTGATTTATTTTGAGCGTTTTGCCACGGTCTTAAGTGCTGATGGCGCCGAGCCGACCCCCTCTGCTCTGTCCTCAAATTGACTGACTAACCTGTATTATATTGATGATTTTTTTTTTTCTGTTTACTTCACAACAGGGCTGCCAAGATGTCCCGCCGGTGGATATTTTTGGCTTATATTTTCTCTGGTAAGTGAGAACTCCACAGCCTATTTTGGATTCACTCAACTCAACTTTATCGATGTGGCGCTTTAGAAAGTACATCTTAATGTGATCTACCTCTTGCTATTACCTTGACATCTTTGGGAGGGGGAAAGACGCGCCCGCCGCTGCACGAGAATGATATCTTAGGCTCTAGCGCCCTCTAGTGGACAAGAGAGGTAAAACTGTCGTCCCACAATTCTGGCTTTGATGCGTGAGCCGTCATGTGATGTCATTTGCGCAGAGATTGCGAGAAATGCACGATCAAACACCAGGTTTACAGTCTTGTTGAAAATGGGCATTTTTCATGGGCGTCAATGTGCCCAATTTGGGTGTTTGACTCAGGCCGTCGACACAAAATGCCACCATGTCATTCTGATATATACCAACTGGAATGTTCAAAAGCGGGGTGTCATTTTGAACTTTTTGACAAAATTTCAGCTTCGTGGAGTAATTTTTTTTTACAGTTTTGGCTGTGTGGCAACTGTCCGAAGTGACCCAATTTGGTACAGTTGGTGCACAAGGGTTTTAATGTTGCTATTGACATCTTTGGTATTCAGCCGCGAGAGTACACTGTTCTCAAATATTGATGTGCATCTGCATCCTCAGTGCTTTGCATGCAAGCTGAGTGCTGGTCTTACCGATACTCCGACGAAACGATGACCTGGGACCAGGCCCGAGCGTGGTGCCGTGCATACCACGGCGACCTGGTGACCATGAAAAACCAGGAGGAGATCGACCATCTCAAAACGTTGTTGGTCCCAAGGGGAGGCCGCTACTGGATCGGGATCCGTAAAATCGACAACAATTGGAAGCGGGTTGACACCAACGAGCCTGTCACAAATGAGGACACCAACTGGGGGCGGCGGGAGCCCAACAACTATAGAGATCCAAGTAACCCTAACAGGAAGGAGGATTGTGTGGAATGGCTATACTGGAAATGGAACGATTTGTGGTGCGGTTCCAATCATTATGCTTTGTGCTACACAGGTCAGTGGAGGGAATGGCAATCTACCCCCCACCCCAACCAAAAAAAAAAAAAATGCAGAGTTTGTGAATTTCCTTCTTTTTGTTCCAGCTTCTTGCCAACGTCACTCATGCGTCCACGGAGAATGCGTGGAAACCGTACCCGGCCACAGATGCCAGTGCACCGAAGGCTTCGATGGAGACAAGTGTCAGCATGGTAAGAATCCATTCAGCTATTGGGCGAAAAAAAAAACAGAAACAGGTCTCAGAGTGAACGCTGAACCGCAAATATGCAATGGATGAGTAATTATATCAATGTTCGTGGTTTCAGCGGTTGAGTGTGACGGAAGCGAGCTGACCTCCCCTCCCAAAGGCAGCGTTTCCTGCGCTGACATGGATGGCAACTTCGCCTTCGATTCACTGTGCCACTACTCCTGCGAGGTTGGATACGAGCTCAGCGACCCGGAACCCTTGAGGTGCACTGCCACCAGAAACTGGTCACATCCTCCGCCGACATGTGAAGGTTCGTGGAACAGCGAAACGATTCAACGCAAATATGCGGTGGATGATCAATTGTGCTGACGTTCGTCGTTTCAGCTGTTGAGTGCAGCGAGCTGACCTCCCCTCCCAAGGGCGACATTTCCTGCACTGGCATGGATGGCGACTTCGCCTTCGATTCACTGTGCCGGTACTCCTGCGAGGAAGGCTACGAGCTCAGCGACCCGGAACCCTTGAGGTGCACTGCCACCAGAAACTGGTCACATCCTCCGCCGACATGTGAAGGTTCGTGGAAAGTCCTCGAAAAAAAACCAATCAAACTTTATTTCCTGCATGGGAGTGCTGATTTCCTGTTGTTCTTTTTCTCTTGCGCTGCAGCCGTTCAGTGCCCTGGTCCTCCCCACTTATCCAACGGCACAGTGAGCTGCGGAGACGATCCGGCTACGAGGTTCAGCTACGGGAACAACTGTACGTTCAGTTGCCAGGACGGCTTCGAGCTTCAAGGGGTGGTCAGCATGGCGTGCACGCACTCCGGCGAGTGGAACGCCGCACCCCCAACATGCGAAGGTGTGAAAGCGGACCAGATGGAGCGAAACGATTCAAAAGAGTTTCAATTTGGTGCTCGGTCGTTAACGTTCAGTTTGAACCTGTTCTGCAGAGTCCGCGTCTCAGTTGAGTGCCATTGTGGCTGGCGCAACAATAGGTGGCGTTGTTGCCTTGTCTGCTCTGTCTCTGCTTGTGTGGATCCTGCGACGGAGGAGGAGGGAACCAGCCGACGACCTTGTGATAATGACGTAAGACTGCCGATTAAGTTCGTAGTCGTCGTTTTGTTTTAAAACGAAGAAACAGAGTCTCTCCAAACGGCGAATTTTGTGAGCTCATGTGTCCTCTCGTCTTCTGTCACAGCATGTCCGACATTGAAGACCCTCCCGCGGTACAAGAAGGCACTGACAGCCCCATACCGGATCGTGACATCACCGTTTTTCTTTAAACGACAGTGACCATGGGATCATTCCAAACGCTGAATGAAACGAAAAAAAAGTAATGTCGCTGACACGTATTTACTCGAATTTTGATCACTTTTACTATCCTCTCCTTTCTACACTGTTGCGTCTGAGTTTGAATGTGTGCAACCAATTAATTAACTCATTTAATCCCACCTGTCACATTTGTGAAGGGCAACAATGATTTCATTTACAGAGCTCTACAATTTTTTTGGACCGATTACTTAAAAGGGCTACCAATGACACCCGATTTTGACTTAGAAATGTCTGGGGAAAATGTTGTTGTTGTTTTTTTTTTGTGAATGGGTTGAAGCCGACCAACTGTTGTCCGACCCGCAGCCGGCATCGGGGACCCCTCCCTGTCGGTGCCATCACAACGTGCCGCCTCGGAACCTTCCCCTCGGTCATCGGGTCCTCGACTCTCTCCCCACCATTGGCGGGGCGCAGGGGGTTCAATGGGCATCAGTTGTAGCGGCGGTCGCCGGTGTTATTGTTCATGTGTTTCTTTTGTGACCGTTTTGATCAATAAAGCAACTGAAATTCTAGCGGTGGCTGTGTTGATCCTTGACTTCACTGTTTTTGCTTTTATATGTGTGATTTTTGTACTTTTTATATTGCACTTTGTATGCAGTGCTGTTTTTTTTAAGTCCTACATAAGGTTGTGTTGAGCGTGCTTTCAGCTCACCTCAGTTGGAGTTTACTGTCGAAACTAAACACGCAGCAAAACTAATCACTCCCACTGTGCTTTTAAATACTTTGTTTTAGAAACTGCCAGTGCAACAGCTGCCATTGCGAATGGGAAGTCCTATTGACTGGCGAGTAAAAAAAAAAAAAAAAAAGCATTGAGTTGTAATTTCAATATCAATCGAAAATAATTCATTCATTTTCCGATCCGCTTTATCCTCACAAGAGTCGCGGGGCGTGCAGGAGCCTATCCTAACTGGCTCCGGGCAGTAGGCGGGGGACACCCTGAACCGGTTGCCAGGCATTCGCAGGGCACACAGAGGCGAACACACACACACACACACACACACACACACACACACACACACACCCACACACACACACAAAACACAGG